CAACAAGTAGCCGCAATATGGTCCGTGCATCGCCCTTTGTTGATCTCTTGGCATCACGACGACATGAGATGAAATGAGATGAGATGAGATGACAACAACATCAACATCTCAACATTACCGCCGCCAACTCATGCAAAACAAACACTCAACCTGCCCCGCTTCAATCGTATCTGTTTTCTCCTTCTCCGGGCACGATTGCTCTTCTTTTCTGGTCTAAAATTTGGAATTATGTACTTCATTTCATGTTTCAGCTTTGGAAGAATGTCGGGTCGGTCAGCCCGTTGGCAAGACTCTAGTGACCAACAGCATTGTATTCCAGTCTGAGACCTCACTGGCCCTAGCTGTCTGGTCGCTCTCTTGAGGCATAGAAACTTTATTGCATCTATGAAAAACTTTTTACTGAGAAGGACAAAATATCCGGTCCTACGTATAACCCTTCAGCCACAAGGCTCTTGTATTGTCTTACGCTTTTTCTACAATTTCGGCATACATATGTTTCAGGACTGATGAGTCTTTCAAGCCGACAGATGCAGATCTAGATCCGTTCCCACTTCAAACGCTGTTCGAGTACACTTCTCATTGATCCTTCAACGTTTCCCTGGTTGAAAGGAAACATTCTAATGTCCACATGAGCGGTGCTTAGGTATTTATGGTATGGCTTCTTGAATGTGCCTAGATTGCCTTAATTGCACTTTCATCTGCAATAACACGAAATTGCGAGAACAACGATCTGTATGAAGTTGACTGTTTGCAGCCTTGCTCGTCGACATTACCTGAGGTAAACGAAAATCAGGTCGCTCAATTCTTTGCCAAGAACAGCAATTGTTTCCCTGCATCCATCCGAACTGCTGCCAAACAAGAAAATACCGCTTCCAGGATGCTGCTCTATCACCAGCCTGACCGACTCGCCCTTGATACAAAGAGTGTGTGAAGACTCTAAGCTTCGCAATGTGCAAAAGCGATACTTGCATTTCTCTAACCTAAACTACACGAGCATTCGGACAACTCTGCTTTGGCCTTAGCCCGATGGCCCTGGTGAAGAACTCTGCTTGTTGTCTAAGGCGTCCATCCTTCATCTAGTACCACATAGCAACTTGTCACTCACCGGTCATACACCGTCAAGCAAGGCGATGCCATCTCAAACGTCCTTGTTCGTTTCTTTTTGAAAGATGGCACTACGTCAATTTCGATCCGAATCGGTCTCTTTCGCCGTGTCGTCATTTGACTGTCGACCTTAGCTTAGATTCTCACTTCGGCATGCTCTCTGTCTGCTACCTGGACGCCTCACTACGCGGGACACCGCCTTGCTGTCACGATTGCAGAGACTTCGACTTTCTCAAATGCAGTTTTCTCTCCCAATAAAAGCACTCTTAATGCCATGCGGTTTGTTTCTGCTTTAAACATTATGGTTGGCCTGATTGGTCACTCTCCTCGCGTCCTTTTTGTGTGACGTTCTCGAGCTCCTTGAGTGATCAGACACCCCAACGTGGGTTTAATTTGATGAAATGCTTGATCTCATCCTTTTTTTTAAAAAAAATCTTAACTGGGAGCTGTCGACCGATATTACATCCATTCGATTTTGAGAATGGAATGAGACATGAAAATTCAAGCATGGCTGGCTAGGCTACCATGCGTTGCCATTATACAATGCTCTAAGTGTTGTAAATGGTGCCGGGATGACTTCGACATTTTGCTGCAAGTATTCCTAGCCACCTATGCTGGAAAAACAACTATGGTCGAAGGGCTAGGTATAATACGCCTTGGCCAACAGTTCAGGATGGTAGTGCAACTATTAACACTCAACTATTGGCCATCGCTGTTTTTCTAGAAACATAGTAGTGCTGTTATACCCTCTTCACTAAACTACATATGGTATCTGCTGCTCTGAGCAGTACATTCTGATTTGCTCTTTTCTTTTGGCCTATCTCTCCTGATAATCATCTGAAAATAAGGCAAGTTCCCGAGGCATTTTTCCTGTCTGCTTGGTCAAATTCTCAAAAGTCTTGCTCTAATAATAATTGTTGTCACACAGCGCTATCAGACCACTCTGCATTGCTGCAGCTTGGACAATCTGGCATTCTTTCCACGGAGTGTCAATACTAGACTCATATGCTAAGCGAGCTTCGAATATTTGTCAGTCACATGCGCGTTCCATTCAGGACTGCATACAATCTCAGTTACATGAATTCTAAGCCTTTACACTTGGCCGGACAGTATGGCTCGCTGCCCTTCCCATCGTTTCCACGCGACGATCACCGAGGATGGACCGTCATGGACCGCGTGTATAGCTCCGATTAATGTTTGAAAGCCGAAGTGGCTTTCTTTTTCGGTGGATTCCGTATTCAAGGTTGACACTTTTGGTCTCACTTCAGCTTCAATCTTTCTAGAAAGGCAACTTGAGGAAAAGCTTAAAAAGAAAGGAAAACTCCAGAACCTCAGAAGAACAGCCATCAGTCGCTCATGTACTACAGGTATTTAGGGTCGAGCAACCATGTCTCGGATGATATCAACCAGAAAACCATTTCTTCGACGCAAGCAGGTACGACATCCTAAGGGTCTCTGCAAACGATGGTGTCAGGACATGAATTGGAGATTGAAGTCCATTTGGCCTGATCTTCGTTTTCCCTTTCCAAATAAGGTATAGCTGGCTTCCACAGCATATCTCTGACATGGAGGCGCGAAAGGCTTCGAGAGGTTGGTTATTGTCTCACTGCGCCCGTTTGAATAAAACGTGGACAGATCAATAACAGCCCACATCATAAGGAATGCCAGAAAGCATGATACCCAGCAACCCGCCAATCGAGCTTGATAGATGAGGAGCAAGCAGGTCAGAGATACAGGCGACGACGCACAAATTCGGTAAGCTGACGAAGAGTGTGTAACCCTCTTGTTTACTTCTGTCCTGGTGATTCGCCTGCTTCCTGCTCTTCCTCATACACACCACTTTGATGGAATTTGTCACTAAGGTGGATTTGCCATGTCACATAATACCCCGATCCGAGACCAGGTGTAACATAAGGAACTAACGTGAATGAAGGCAGGATGTTTCATTATACAAACTTGATCAACAAGCAGATCTTAATAGACTTGATATATCTGCGTTCTCGCTTTGACCGGTTCTTTTCTCAAGCCTTTTGCTCGTCTGACCTCTTTGACGCCTGGCCTTTGCTCTATGCCTGCTGTAGCCGCCAGCACTTTCGTCTCCTCCCGCTTTCGTCTTTGAATGTGTTTCCTCACCCAGAACCCTTCTGGTCCCTTGACTTCCTTTTGAGACCATTCCGACTTTCTCTTACTTTCTTCTCATCTATCCCACAGCTTTCCTCATTGGCAATGGTTTGTGACAAGTACAGGCATCAACCTTAAGCCAGTCCCCTGGTCCTTGGTCATTCTCGAATAAGTTTGCATCCATTCCTCCGCCCCCTTTCTCGGCTGATATCGATTGCCGTTTACTTATACTGAGCCTATGATACAAAATATCAGGCTACGTACCTATATATTTGGCCTGCCAAGCATTCGCAGGGCACCCTGTAGGATATCTGTCGTCGAAGTCCAAGTCCGACCATCCGCAGGGCCTCGAATGCTTTGTTAGCGGGACGGAACGGAGATAGAGCTTATTTCTTGAAATAAGTTTGATCAAGTGCTTGATGGAGACGAAGCAAAAAGATGATAATACGAATAACATACTGTTTCTGGAAACAAGGTGAGGAAGATTTTGGAGATGCATCTACTATAGCAAACGATTTTAAGTAAAGCCGCTTGAACTCCATTTATGATCAAGCATAACGTAGGAGTTACCAACATAGGTATGTATCTTTACATATCAGTCTAGAAATAGCATCAGAAGTGAAGAAGGAAAGCCGCACGCGGCCATGGCTTCCCGGCAGTTCACAGTCCAAGGAACTGCCGCAGTGGAATGATAGGAGAGGTTTCGGTCCTCGTGCCTGCGTTGTAGTACTTGTTGGGTTGATCGGGATCCAGACTGGAGGATTGGTGCCCGCATTTTGATGTCCCAGGGAGAAAAAAGCGGTTAATCGTTTTGGATGAAGCCGAGGTGTCGTTTGTAGATCAGACAGCCTCAAGACGGTGGGAATGTCGGGCGTCTAGCCTTCGCTTGATTTTTTATTTTTTATTTTCTCTTTTTCTACTTCGCACGCTTGATGTCCGATTTCGGGCCCGGGGGGAAGAGGAAGAGTACCCAAATCCGTGGAAGTTGGGAGAAGTGGATAATAGTTAGTTAGTTAATTAATTAGAAGACGGCTTTTCTAAAGCAGCAAAAGCCTAAAAAAGGGGAGGCTGAAATATTATTTTTTTTATGTTGGTACTGTGGATGTAGTTATGTATGTACTGTATGTATTGCACGTATCATACTTGGACCCTCGCACTGCAGCCGATAAGGGGCAATAATGAAGCACGTACAGTATGGATGTACCATACCATACATAGCGGAAGCCCGGTTGAGAAGATCGCCCGGAGAGCATGTGAGAAAAGAAAATGTCCGAGTGACGACAGTTGCCGGACATGTTGTATGCAGGAAGGCTAGGGGCGCAGTGTGGCGATTGGGTGACCTGTTGTGTGTAGAAGCTACATATATGCATATGTACGTATGTATGTATGGCATTCATCAGGCCAGTGCCTGGTATCGGAAAGGGCTTAGAGCAGCCCCTGAATCCTAATATCAAGGTCAGTATAAGCTGAACTTGTTGGTATGCAAGAGAAAGAACTGTGTGTGCCTTTGTTGCACAGAGAATGAGACATTCAACTTAGCTAGACCTCGCTTAGGAGTCGCGGGTCAAAAAGTCCAAATGGCAGTTTATCGTATTGTAGATCATCGTGAGAGTTATCAAGTCCTAGATTATTGGACTTCTTAATCACAAAAGGTGAAATTGGGTTAGAAAGGAAAAGAGGAAAATCTGGATGTCAGCACGCTAGTCAAGGAAATCGTCGATCATATGATGTTTGGAAGAGACAGATTGCTTAAGAATACTTTGAAGTTGAAATTAGGTCTATTAGCTCAATGGTAGAGCACCTGTCTCCTACCCCCTGAAAAAAGGGAACAGGAGGTTGTGGGTTCGAGTCCCATGTAGATCGCTTTTTGGCACAACTACGTTTTTTTGTCAACCACGGTTTTTCTACTTCCCTTGAGATCATATATTCCAGTGAGTAATTCAAGTAAATACATCTGTATGCTGCAAGGCTAACTGATATCAGAAGAATAAGCAAGCATACACCAATATCATCTCTACAGCAAGATGCTTGATGGGTCTAAGAATCAGAACACGAGAAAGCTGAGCATGAAATCTAGAGGATGTGAGCTATGAACGGTCAATTAAAATTCCCTACTAAAGTATGGAAGGGTTTAGAGTATGCGGGAAAACTACATGCTAATATATTGCTGGGGTTCGGGCTCTTCCAACCAGAGTAAGAATGCACGGGAGGATCTCTCCAGGCAAGTCGACAAGACGAGATAGCCCACGATCTCGACGTTCCATCGCTTCCTTTTAACCCTCAGTATCTTTCTCCTCCTTCCTGAGGAGACCGAGATAAAGAGGGGGAAAAAAGGTTATCCGTGAAGATATGTCGTTGGTGACGTCCAAATTAGCAGAGACTTGCACAGGATAAGAGCTGAGACCTTAGGGGATATGATCTTGGGCAGATTCGGGGACAGGAATATTCAGTGGGATTTGTAGGAGCATCTGTTGGGCTGCGTGAGCAAGGGTTATTGTATTTTTCGCAGAGAACGCTCATGTGAAGAAAGTTTCAAGGATATGCTATATTTCGCCAGAAAAAATTTAAGGGCTTTGCCATGAGTAAAGATTTGCAGTAGGCAGTTTAATGCTGATTCTTTGAGATTTTTCATTGAGAGGCCGTCCTAGTATGAGAGTCAGCTTGCTTAGCTTCCACAATTCATCTTGCAAAGTTGTTTCCCAGGGAGATCGACTGGAGTGACGAGGAAAATAGTCATCATATTCAACTCGTGTGATACGCAGTCGATCAAGAGACTGACTGCAGATAGCATGATCTGGTGTCCTGCGTCAGAACTATAAGGAAAAGTGTCTTCGTCTATCCTGATGAGGGATGAGTTCTTGTCGTCCGCAATAATATGCATTCAAGCAGACGCATATAGAATGTCTGCGAGCAGTGACAATGCAGCCAACTTCATTTCCAGCAAGGCGTGATACTAGCCGTGACAACATTGATATATCGAAGTTGCAGTTGAATCAGGGGGTGGTTTCCCCCTGGTATTGGCACAGTGTGCAGTCCATGGCTCCTCAAGCTCTGAAGAGATTGATTGCAGGGAAGAAAGAACAGTATATGGGGTATTTGAGAAAACAATTTGACTTGATACCAAATTGGCTCTGTATACAATCAACAACAACGACGAAACACTTAAATTGGAGAGGGTTTAAGGAGTGTAATATTGCCAACATAGCTGAAGGGTGACACCTTGAAAAAAGGTTGGTATCGCTGTCCAGGGTCTAGATCAAAACTTGATGTACAGTGGCTCAATGTCACAAGGTCGAGATAATCAGGGAGCGAAATTTCTACTTTGCAGACATCATTATTAACAGTTTTGGGCCGTAAACATGGAGAGAATTTTTGTTAGACGCAAACCAAGCAAGCCAGCCTAGGAAGATTAGCAAGAAAAAGGTGGGAAAAAAAAATAAGACCCATCAAGATTGAAAGCAGGTTCATAACATTAGGGAGTATCATGTTGTCTTCTTAGCAAACTCGACTCGTAAAATCAAATGTCGATAGCCATCTACATGCTATTAGCGCATATCAAAAGAGGAAGCACAAGACTTGAGTTGTTAACTTACAGCCATCCATTTTTTCACACGCTCGAGCAGCATCTGCCCTGTCCGCAAAACTAATGAAGGCAAAGCCTTTTGCCATATTGGTTTCTTTATCCTTGGCAAGGAAAACCCTCGTAACATGTCCGAATCTGCTAAACATATCGCGCAGTTCTCCTTCTTCAGCAAGTTCGCTGACCTGTCAGACAGTTAGCACCAGCCCGTATTGCCAGCATCGTAGTCAAAAGAATGGAAAAATCACACTCACATTTGTAACACGCAGCGTCGCCAGCTCGTCTCTCTCATATTTGCTCGACATTCTCTCTCCGGTACCAGCACCGCCTTTCCTCAGTGCAGGGGGGACATACGCACTTCCACCAGTTCCCAAACCACCTGCCGGCCGCTCCTCATCTTCATGGTCTGCGCCAGACGCCCCAGTCGGCTCGTCAACCGGCGCCATGGTATCCTTATACGGACATCTGGCCGTGAAATGCTCCCCGCTACAAATCCGGCATTTCACCTTCTTATCCTTCAACTGATCTTTCAACCCCCCCTTCTCGCCACCCGCCTTCTCCGTCTCCTTGGCCTGAGCTTTCCAGTTCACCGACGGTCGGAAAATGATGTTTTCTCCTACGGACGTGGTATCCAGAGATGGACCGGGAGCATGGCCCTTTTCGAGGCCGAATTTCGCCCACGCCTTGCGTTCCGCCACGCGAGGGTTGACATGTTCTTTGACCACGGTTGTGCGAATCCGTCGTGTAGTCTTGACCTTCTTGCCGTCGTCGTTGAACCGGTACGATATTACGGTTTTTGTACCGTCTTTGTTGGAAATGACTTGCTGTGGGGGGAGGGACGCAGCCTCGTCGAATTCCTCGTCATCGGCCCAGTCGCCCGCGCGGCTGTCGCACAGTTCTGTTAGCGATATGTGTTCAAAAACTTCGAGAAAATGAGCGACGGCACTTACTTTGCTAACCTAGACATCTTCGGCCTATTCTGTATGTTTTGTTCGTTGAATACAAAGCTGTTTCTTTCTTAGTTCAAAATTGATGGAATTGAATATGATATTTCGGTGTGCAGTCAGATAACCTCGATCGGGTTAGGGTCTGTTTAAGCTTTTACTTCTGCCGCCACACCACTGGAGCTAAACTGGAATTGGACTCCAGAGCCCTAATTTGTATACTCTGTCGCATATGGGTATCGACTGTTACTCAACGCCAATCCCTTCTTGCTATCAAGCTCCAACTGGGAATCACAGGAGCCGTAGTCTACATGCTGGTCAGATACGAGTCCTGCGAGGACCATTAAATAATGATATGTACATACGTATGTAGACAAGGAGTATTGGATGCGGTTTAGGATCTGAATGCCGAAGCAGAGTATCAGAGAATGAAACATACGTAAAGCTGGAACAGCTCAGAATAGCTTAGATAGCTACAATGAGATAAGACAAAGAGATAACGATATGTATGTACAGTATATAAAGCCGATACCAACACTCCCAATCGATGCGATCGTTAATAACGGGTCCAAGATTGTAAAACTGACAAGTACCTCCGTTCAGCAGCTTTACAGCTTAGCAATCATCTTATTTCCCTTCTGGAGCCAAGCAACAGCATCATTGGCGAGCTCGTCAACAATGGCTTTGGCAGACTTCTTCTCATTAACAACAGCAGCAGCCTTGCCCATCAAATGTGGGCGGGCATTATCAATGGTCTCATCATCAACATCATCACCGAACTTTTCAAAATCGTGTTCCACGGGAATAATGCCCTTGCTTGTGAGCTCCTTAATCTCTTGGGCGCGGTTCTCTTCCCAGTCCTTGATGTACGCGTTCATACGCACACGCATTGGTCGTCCCTAAGGCAAGCCCTTAGCTATACGGAAAAATATATGGATTTGGACAGAGGGTCCAGCTGGAGCGCACTTACGGTGAAAATGACAGTTCGGACATTGTCATCGAAGCCCGCGGTTCTAACAGCTTCTTGGTGTTCGCGCGGTGCACCAGCTTCATCTGACAGGACAAATCGGGTACCAACCCAGACACCAGAAGCACCCAGCATCAAAGCTGCAGCCACAGTCTGACCATTGAAGATTCCACCAGCAGCGACCACTTGAACTGGCTCGCCATTTAAAGGACTCTTATGGCCCTTGACGAGCTTGGCAACAGTGGGAATGAGGATCGATGTAGGAACGTCCCCAGTGTGACCGCCTCCCTCACCACCTTGGGCACAAATGATATCAACACCAACATCCAAGCACTTCTGTACATGCTTGGGATGACCAATCATGTTCATGTAGAGGATGCCAGCCTTGTGAAGGCGCTCAACAACGTGCTTTGGAGGAACACCAACGGCTGAAACGAAGAGTTTGGTGCCACTCTCAATAATGATAGAGATCAGTTCATCTAGTTTGCCCTTGGTATAATCATAACTAGCGTAAATCAGCAATCTTTTCCCCCATCCACAAGGCTTTTGTTCTCAAACATACTTTGTCTTGCGTGCATTGCCTCCGACCTGAGGAATCAAGAGATCGACACCGAAAGGAGCATTCTTATCGTTCAAAAAGCTCTTCAGTTCTTGTATTTGTTCTCTCAACATATCTGGAGTGTAGCCGACACCACCAATAACCCCCAAACCACCGGCGTTCGTGACGGCTGCTGCGAGCTTTGGGCCCGCAGCGACGTTCATACCAGCCAGAAGGATCGGGTGGTTGATCTTAAGCAGATCTGTGAGGGGAGTACGAAGTTTCTCTAAAGCATTTTGCTAAAGTTAGCGGTCGGTGTGGCTTACGAAGTAGAGAGAAGGGCAACTGGGAAGGCCCGCCAGTTTGAGAGCAGACTTACGAGGCGATGCCATCTTTGAAGTGTCTAGTAAGTATCAATAGTCGATTTAACGAACGAGGGAAATAGCACAAAACAGGAACGTAGGTTAAGTGATGGGCAATGCTTTGGAGGAGGGATGATATCCAAAAGACGGTCAAGCAAGTGATCAGGAGAAAAGATGACAGAGTTAAAGTATTTATTCCTCGTGAGAATAGCCTGGGTCCATTTGGCGGCTGAGAAAGAGCCTCGGCATCTCTGAAGGTTCAAGCGGACCAAAGTCGGGATCACTATCATGTTAACCGCAAGCTGACCTCGATATCTCCTTCACGAACATTTCTCCAAGAAAACAAATTTTTTTCTCAAAAGCAAAGTAAAGTATGGACAAGTCCTAAAAAGCCAACAAAACAGAACCCGATTTCGAACAGTATTTGCCTTTTTGTGTCGAACCAGCAGGTCAACAAAAGTCCACCGTTCAG